ATGTCTCATCGAATATCTCGTCACTCTATATAGTAGTGATGCATAATTCATATTTCTATTTCGTGTAATTTTACATCTTGTATCGAGTGTGATATGTTGCGCGAGACGATTTTTGCACTCCAGAAAATATACGAATGCCAAATTCCATTTGTATCTCAAATTCTTTTGATATAGTATACTTTTGTTGTATTACTAATATATCTTTCTTTTCATCTTTTTCGAAGAGAATTAACAATTTTTTAATTTTAAATTTTTGTACAAGCACAGAACACTTGGATTACATAGCATATTTCTTGGAAAATAATTAAACATTTTTACATTTTAATTAAGAAAGACGTAAATCATCCAATATATATACACATATGTACATGAAGGAAATTTTAAATGGGAACGAGTAGCAGGTTCAACACACACACCCTGTCACTCCCAGGAAATAGCCCACGGCTAACATTCATGTCGTGTCGACCATATATCCCGTATTTCCACTGACGATTATTTTACACGTCAGAAAAAACTGTATCTGATAAAATCGATGCATAACAGTGCTGATCTGTCCTCAATTCGATATCAATCTGATCTGATTTAACAACATACGCTTGCTTACCTAGCATTGAGTCGTTTTAAATTGTTTTAACTATATTGTCCTAGATTGGGGTATTACACAAATTTAATAAACAACATTTATCACATATATACATTTTATCACGTATACACGTAATGATCTTGTCCAAGCAAATATAGGCATCGAGTAAATCCCAATTAAACAGTTATATATATGTGTGCGTGCGCGCGCGCGCGCGCGCGCGTGTGTGTGTGTATGTGTATGTGTGTGTGTATACTTATAACTGTTTAATTGTTGCAAAAACAATTGTTTCAAAAAAATATTAGTTAGTTTAATTCAACTAAATATAGCGATCACAGGCTAAGTAAATATTTATTAATTCAAACAAATAACATGTTTTAAATCACAAGATTTTGTTAAATTAAATATATAAGTATTTGAATTAAATAATCACGAACTAAACGCATTTCGTCAAGTTAATAAGTTTTCTCTTAATGTATTGATTATAAACAAATTAAGGATACAAAATTAAAAATAGTGTCCATCGTATATTAAGAAATATTAAAAATATATAGGATATAAATACGATATATTGAAAATGCAGAGATATTGCATTTTTATATTATATCAAGGAGGAAGAAGGAACTATTTATAAAATAAATAAAGAAATCGATACGTATGTAAGATATGAATATTAAGTAATCCCAAAATCTTTGACTTTTCTTTTAAAATCATCTTGTATACAATATATATACAAGATATACATGAGATCGAAAAAAATACTTAAAAAATGTGTAAGCGCACGTTGATATCGAACGACTTAACCGGAATTTTATTTTACCACTCGATATTAAATGCTGTCTTAATCTTTCCTATTTCTAAAAAGAAAATTTAGTTTCGAATTTTCTTACATATTTCATTTACTAATTGTGTATACAATATTATAAATCATATCCGCGAAATTAGATACATTTTTATATTTAAAATATCTTACCTTCTCTCTCTCTCTCTCTCTCTCTCTCTCTCTCTCTCTTTCTCTCTCTCTTTATTTCTTCTTGTTTATACACACGCGTAATAATCACGGCTTTAATATGTCCCGGATTTTCGGATGCGAAAATAATAGAGTGCAAGCAAAATCAATCGTGAAATATAACATGTAGACACCGAATAAATTGAAACATTATCCAAAATGTATTAATATCATGCGTGTCCACAGAATACTTGGATTTGTGTTTCCGCGTTACCGCGAAGTAACTTATGTTTCGCTACTGCCTGGGAATTAATTAAAATCTATATATATGTATATATACACACAAACACCTCACACGCATATGTAATTGTATCTCTCTAAAAACATTATACGCGACTGTCCCAGAAAACACGTATGTGTCATTTAGACGCAATCAGCCGGATACGCTGCGTCAGCAATGCAAGAGGGACGTGATATAATTTTCAAGAGCATATCGTTTTACTTTTATTATATATGCCGGAGACTGTGAAAGATGTTAGCATAATTTATTATTTAATGCATGTAATATTAAGAAACAATCAATTAATTTTTAAAATTGTCAATTTAACAGGAAAAGAATAGCGTAAATCCAAGAAAAGAGGATAACAGAGCTTTTTAAAGTTTCTCTACACTAAAAGAAAAGATTGGCTGAGTATGACATTGCATTTTTAATTGGTTGCAGCAGCCAATTTTTGGTTGCGTTAGCCTATCGAAATTCTATATTGACATTGCGGATAGGCTAACACCAAAAATTGGCTGCTGCAACAAAAAATTGGCTGCTACCGCCAATTAAAAATACTATACCGTATTTTACCTAATTTACTGCAGCAGCCAAATCTTTTCTTTCAGCATATAGAAATAAAACATTTTAATTCCTATTTTATTATACCTATTTCAGGAAACATTAATCGTAGACGCAAAAATTCGAAGATGTTCATCTACGTAGAGCATGCGGAAAATGCTCGGCGCGTGCCGAAACTTTCTATCGTCTTTCCGAGGCATCCGATAAATATCTTAGGATAAGTAAATCCGTTAATAATCTCGTGATTTAATACGCTTAAGACAATTAAGTTACGATAAGATTGTAAAATCCTGTGATGTCGTTACGCGCAGGCACAAGTAACATTATAATGAAATATTACGTCGCGTTAAAAGGACAAGAATAGACGTTTGTGACAGCAACGAAGAAGTCGCAGAATGCGTAAACCACTTTGTAATAGCGCGCGCGTATACAATTAGTCGCGGATCTCTAATTTACACGTTTACGCAATTCAACGCGCGATAATTAATTGCTTTAAATCCGCGATAATTTACGCCGCCACATTTCGAAACAACGACCGTTCTACATGATTGAAAATGGTGAAAAGGGTTCACTGTTAAAATATATAAATAAATTGTTAGCCAATTTATTTTCTTTTGTAATATGGAACGATAAAATAACTTACAAATTAAAAGAGAAACCAAAAATATACAATTACACATACGCACGAATATATACACAATTATGTACTCACACACGCACGCATACACATGCACGCACTTGTATATGTGTATGTATGTATGTATATAACTATATAAAGAGACATTTTATTAAATGCAAAATATAGCATTTTCTAAATTACGATATATTACACATAAACTTAAATACATTATAAAAAATCTATAATAACGTAATTCCGTTAACTAAAAGTTTGGTCATCTAATTTCACAAAAATTAATTCGTATTATAATTAATTTAGATAATTACATGATAATTATGGAAGAGCAAGTGCATTATACATGCATTAATTCATACAAGTTACACTACATCACATCATCAAATTGCTATTTAGTCCATTTAACGATGTCATGTACAGTGATTTTGATAATGATCAAGATTTCGACACGTACTAATTAGAAATAAAACTTCCCTTGTAAATGAAAGCACGTGGGGAAATCACAGAGGGAAGCAATTATTCGCAAATCACTGATACACAATTTTGCATCGAATCTCAATGCGCATTATGTTTCCCAAAAGGATTACGTACGTTCCGACAACGAATCCGAATTAATTAATCTGGCTAATTCGCGAGGCGCAATACGAGGCCAAATGGTGTCGAAACAGAAAGATTTATTTTCAACGTGCATCGCGAGAACGAGAGGGCAATCACCATCGTGATAATTGAATTTTTATAATGATAGAAATTCTGTCGTTTCTCTCGTTCGTCGAATAAGCGTTTATTTGCCGACATGTTTTACGTATCCAAATGATTCGCGTTTTTAGTAAAGAATCCATCCGTGCTATCCATCTGTACTTTCTAAATTAAATGCCATCTAGAATATTATTTTTTGCTGCGACGAAAAAAATTTTCTTTATCTCTCCCGTTTCCTCCCATTTTGTCGATTATGCAACCGACGCTCATGCGTCTTCTTTAAATCACGATATGTGGCCGGGTATATACGCGAAAAATGTATCTATCAGCGTTTATCTATGATTGATAAATTTCGATCCGGTGCGTAACGACACAAAGCACAATGCGGCAGTC